TACGTGATTAATATAATTCAACTGAATGTGATGAGGAAATATCATTTGTCTGTTTTGTTTTCAGCATCTTAGGAATACAAATAAGATTGAATGGGTCCAGTTCAAATTGATTACAAAAATTGTCGTTCTTTTTCTTCTTCATTCTTTTTATTTATTCCCATAAAACATTTTAATACTTTATTTAGTTATTTTAATGGTGTGGTCTTTATTTTCCTCAAAACATTTGGTAAACCAAATGTTGTAGACATGATTACATTTGTACGAGTGTTGCTGATATATTTACATTGAATAAATAGTAATCATGTAAATATATCAGCAACACTGCAATACAGTTGCATAGTTAATATAGCCATATCTACCATCTAAATACCCCCCCGCCCTCCAAAAATAAAAACTGCCCACCCACCCAGTATATCTGCCAGCCTACCCTTCTATCGCTGTCAAGAACCGGGCCTGGAGGGGAGTGATCCATTTTCCAAATCAGTGATTCTGTTTTTTAATTTTTTTGTTGTTGGTGTTATATCTTTTAAGTATATAGCAGTAGTAGTCTAATTTTATTTAATGCCACGTCAGCATCTGGGGCTACTTTCATGGCAAAAACTCAATTACAAAAATGCAAATATCACATAAATACAATAAAAACCAAACAAACACAGCAAATAATATTATACAAGATTCTTTAAATTAACATATGATAAAAATTCTAAAACCTTTTCAAGCTAAATTTTACTAAATCTTGTAAGTAAATACAGCTGGATAAAACAAAAACTGTGTCCGTCTTTATTTCAGGCTGCAAAGCAACAAAATGTGATTATTGTTTTAATGGGAGGTGATTCTTTTCTATACCCACTGTAGTGTCAATCACAGTATAAGGTGTGTGATGTATACACATACACCAACCTCATGGGTATGAGTAGATGCTGCATCATAAAAAGCATAAAAGAAAATATATATATTCACAGACAACTAAAAATAAGCCCTATAGTCAACAGGAAAGTTGGAGAAAACTCCACATGTTCCACAACCCATGAGGGACTGTGACACTCTTGACCTCTGTGGAATCGTGTCTCACAGACATCCAAACATTGTGAAGGCAGAGTGGAAAATATTTGCAGGGGGAGATTTGGGGGAAGTGTTGAGTTATCTGAAGGACAAAAGAGGTGGGAATCTACATTCTGTCTTCCTTCAGAACCACATATGAAGGTTCAATTTAGCAGATTTACCAGCTCTAAAATTGTGTCAGGTGAAATTAAATAATTTGAAACCCTACTGTTAATAAAATCAATCTTGAGTCTGTTTAGTATGTTTTTACGGGACTGATATAATTTCAGAACACCAAACTTGAGAGAATCATCTTGAGAGAATAGTTTTTGCACAATAGGACACAGAAAAAATTTTTTTAAAATAAATATATATGTATAAGTTACATTTGAGGTATTTAGGAAGTTTATTATGAGGAACTGAATGGTTCACCCAAAAACAAAAATTTGCTGTTAATTTACTCACCCTCAGGCCATTAAGAGGTGACTTTTTTTCGAGTAAAAAAAGTAAAGAAGATTTTTAGCTGAAACCGTGATACTTGGTGGCTCATGAAGCACAATAGGACACAGAAAAATAATTTTTTAAATAAATATATATGTATAACAGTTACATTTGAGGTATTTAGGAAGTTTATTATGAGGAACTGAATGGTTCACCCAAAAACAAAAATTTGCTGTTAATTTACTCACCCTCAGGCCATTAAGAGGTGACTTTTTTTCGAGTAAAAAAAGTAAAGAAGATTTTTAGCTGAAACCGTGATACTTGGTGGCTCATGAAATGCAAGTCAGCAGCTGCCCAACTTTGAGAATTAAAAAAAGCATATGAAGGAACAAAATTAATACCGGTGAAACCTGACTATATATCGAGTTCTTATGAAGTGAAACGATCAGTCTGTGCAAGAAAATGTACATTATTTACAACATTATTGCCTGTAATCCAGAGCCTCAGGCAAACAGGGAAATCCAGTTATTTTCCGTGAACTGGTTCTTTTGGACAGTTTGTTTCAATATATATATATTTTTTTTCAATCATTTCGCTTCATAAGAACTCAATATAGTCACAGGTATTAATTTTGTGTTCTCTGATATGCTTTTTTGATTCTCAAAGTTACGATAGCTGTTGACTTGCATTTTATGAATCACCAAGGACCACGGTTTCAGCGAATCTTCGATGCCTGAGGGTGAATAAATTATCAGCAAAGTTTCTTTTTAGGGCGAACTCTTGCTTTAAAAAAAAAAAAAGCATGCAAGTTTTTTGGGGGGGTTTTATTTTACATTTTACATAAAATAGGCATTCTGACCAAGTGCATTTGGCTGATAAGTGCCATAAGTGCTGGATGTGTGTCAGTCAAACAGCACTGGGGGTATTTAATTATAGTCAATTACTTCTTCTTCTTCTTTAAGTATTGACTTGATACTAGTCTTCTTTTTTTTGACATTCTTATTTTACAGACTTTCAAGCAGGTCAAAGCTGGTTATTTTAGCCAATAGCTGGTCTAATGCTCTGGTGGGGTCTAGATCAACCAGGTAGACAAGGTTAGGTTAGCTGTCTAAGCTGGTTGAGACCCAGCAACCAACTGCTCCATATTATAAAAATCAGCCAAACCACTTCAAGCCGTCATGACCTGATTTTTTCAATAGGGTGGTCATCCTGTAAACGTAACTACGTACAGAGGAATAAGAGTGAAAAAACCGGGCGATATTTATTTTTCCCTATTGCTCTGAATGCAGGTTTTGTGCTCTGTGTTTTGAGTCCTTACACACTGACAGTTTAACCCTGCCTTACAATTCAGCTTTATGAAGCTCATGACTCGAGTCACAGAAGAAATTATTAAATTGTGTGGGAATTTGTGACACTGTACTTGACTGGGAATTTTCTATTAGGAACAATCCTGAAACGCTGTCACGGTGTCTGTGAGTCTGACACAACATTCACTCTTTTCAGAAACTGTTTATCCATGCCAGCAATATGCTATAACTATTTCAGGGACAATTCCCCCATGACGGTATATAATTCAATGGCTTTTGTGAACAACACACTGCCAATCCAAGATAATGTGAAACACCTGAACACAATTATCAAAGTGCTAATTAATAAACCTCTCACATAGCTGCTAATTTGCAGTCAATCAAACATGGCTTGTACTTGCAGCGGCATGTGTAGTTATTTAAAAGTGAAGCTCCTTATATTTTAAATGCACTTTTGACTTATATCACCAATTTGCAGAGACTGCAGGACTTTTGCAAAAAAAATAATAATTTGGACAAGTGGCATGTAATTCTGCTTTAGGTGTAAAAATGATGACATTGAGGTTGTCAAACTGAATTACTTCTTATTGTGTTTGAATGCTGTGATGTTGTACTCATACTGGGATATTATCTAATATCACAAATGCAAATTGGTGGGAAACTCCACTGGCAGTATTTGAATAAATCTGTCTTATCTTTGTAATAAATCTGATTTTTTTTTCAGTACTATGCCCACAAAAGAAGAATGCCAGAGTATATTGATGACTGTGCTACAACTCTTCAAGCTGATCCCATTTTGTTCAACTGTGGAATGTTTTTATTCTCGGTGATGTTTGCCACACATACAAGCTTATACGACACAATTCAAGAAACACACCGTAAATCTTTTTGTGTATTCCTAATATACAAGATTGCAGTGGTTTTAACCAATGTAGCACTTTGTAATGCTGTCACTCCATGAATCCTGGAATAGGCGACGCTTGCAGCTGTTCAGGGTGGCATTGTTGCCCTCACACAGGCTCTCAGACGCCCACTTCATGCTCACTCCCGGCCGTTACACACAATTGCTCTGCCATTTCACCCACAACTCACTGAAAATGATTTGTTCCTTTCCGAGCACCTCATATCTCGCCTAGGGCAGCATGACAGTCAGGACCGCCACCGACTCAACAGAAACCAGATGCCTTTTTTTTTTTTCCAAGACTCGTGTACAGCTGTTGTGCTTGTTCATGACACTTGAACGTTTAATGTTCCAAGCACCACAGCTGTACATGAGTCTTGAAAAAAAATGGCATCTGGTTTCTGGCTGGGGCGCTTTTTGTGACTCTTATTTGTCCCAGTGATTTGGGATGGTCTATCAGCCTGGATGCACTAAGTTGATTTAAAACTCCTGCTGCTTCACACCTAATCTGTTTATTTGGTTCCTTTTCTACTGTTTTTCTCATTGCCTCTGGCTCTGCTTGTTTTGACATTTCATTTTTCCACTCATACTCACTGTGTTTGGACTGTCGGGTGCATCTATCACTCTGGACTGCGCTGCTAACTCATGCTCTGTCTGTCTGTAGTAGCCTATGTATGTATATTGTGTCTGTTATATTGTTTGGTTTGTAAAATGCCTTGAGAACTATAGGCTACATAAAGTAAACGTAGTACTACTATTAACTACAAGACATGAATGGACATTTAATGTCAAGACTGATATGTCTAGTCTTCATCTCATGCAAGTGAGCATTTTAATATTTCTCAAATGTAATGTTCACATCTTTATTAAAAAGAAAATCACTGAATGTTCAATTTTATTTATTTATGTCAGAATCATGTCTGCTAAAGAAATGCACTGATAAAAACAAATAGCATTTTTAATATTATTGCACATATTATAAATCAGCTTTTTTGTTGTTTTTCCACTTTAAACCTCCGCTTTATAATTGTACATGTAAACTCAGGTGTCACAATCATGTACAAAATACAACATAATCGTTTTTAGTGTGAAGGTTGAACTATAATGAGCAGACATTGTTAATTTTTAACCTTTTTACAGCATGACACGTGCGCCTGAGCGTTTATATTATGTTTAATATTTAGATGTGAACAGCACTAAGCTAGATAACGCACGTACCTTCCTGACAGAAACTAAAGTGATGCTAAAGCTAAAATCAATGTCTGTTAAACTTAAAACTAAAAAGTGGCATAGCTGAGAGCTGAACTCACCAGACTGCGGAGCGAGGACTCGTCCATGCTGGAGTATCGCTTCTCTGACATCTTCTCATACACTTTATTACCGGATTGAATGGCGAACGAGTGTAAAGTACTGTTAAACAAGCCGTCACATACACATAATAGAAAGGCTCACGTCAGATGCATTCAAGAGCACGTTAGGTGACTGCATGCCTCTGGCGTCACGAGCGGTGAGTGATTTGAGTGGAAGCCCCGCCCCTTACTCACCGCCAGCCAATAAGTGGCCGGCAAATTCAAAACCTCACACGCTCGAGTTAGAATGTTAGCGTCTGATTGGTGTAACAGACTAGCACATTGTTTTTTATTTTCTTTACAGTGGCTCTGCGACCTGCTATCAATGAAGTATGTCACATTTACTTTCTCATTTCATTTAATTTCCTCCACGCCCTGTCTGCTGACTAACCGACTTGTGCAAGACCTGAGGTGAAGCCACTCTACGGTGTACACTGCCTGCAGCATAGAGATAAGTAACTATATTTTAAAGCAACCAAACAGTACGAAACTTCATCAAAATAATATTAAGTAGAATACAGGTAAACAAATCAGTAGTTGATTTAAAGGGGTCATATAATGCGATTTCAATTTTTCCTTTCTCTTTGGAGTGTTACAAGCTCTTGGTGCATAAAGTGACCCCTTTAAGTACAGGTTTTTCAAATTGTTATTGAGAGTTTGGCACTCGAGAGAAATGCATGATTGGCAATATCATCATAACATTAGTTTACTTTTCTTGCACCTTTTTTTGTCAAAATATGTGTATATCATCCAGTATTATGGCATTTAAAGGGTTAGTTCACCCCAAAATGAAAATTCTGTCATTAATTACTCACCCTCATGTCGTTCCAAACCCGTAAGACCTCTGTTCATCTTCGGAACACAAATTAAGATATTTTTGATGGAATCTGAGAGCTCTCTGACCCTCCCATAGACAGCAACGCAACTGTAATCTTCCCAGACAGAAACATAGTAAGGACATCGGTAAAACAGTCCATGTGACATCAGTGGCTCAACTTCAGTTTTGCAAAGCTACGAGAATACTTTTTGTGCGCAAAGAAAACAAAAATAACATAATTTATTTAAAAATTCTTGTCCCCGAGTTACGTCTTCCGCCATTTTAGAGAGTACCCAAGAGTGTAATCTGCATAATCAGCGTTGTTTACGTTCGGGGGAGAAAGCGCGCGCATGAATGTAATTTGCATAATCAGCGTTGTTTACGCTTAGGGGAAAGCGTGCGTATGTGTTGTGATGATACTCTCTAAAATGGCGGAAATGTTTTGGAGTGGACGAAAATAATACCCAAACATTTGCTGAAAATTTACCCTCAGGTCATCCAAGATGCAGATGAGCTTGTTTCTTCATCAGAACCGATCTGGAGAAATTTAGCATTACATCACTTGCTCACCAATGGAGTGAATGGGTGCCGTCAGAATGAGAGTCCAAAGGCTGGAGAAAGCAATATTATGGATAGTGGACTCGTATTTTAGCTAGAAGCAATGGTTTGAAGTTTAAAACGTCTTGATGGATTTATTACTTACAAACACGCAGCTTTTCTCTTCTCCAGATGTTAACTGATGGACTGTAGTGGTGTGGATTACTTGTGGATTATTGTGATGTTTTTATCAGCTGTTTGGACTCTCATTCTGACGGCACCCATTCACTGCAGAGCATCCATCGGAATTTCTCTAAAATCTGTTCCTATGAAGAAACAAACATTTTTTTTTCGTATAAAAGGTATATGTTATCCTTTTAATTTAAGAAACCTGTGAGATTTCATTAAACACTCAACTTCTCTTTTTTTTTTACTTTTTTAATTCCCACAGATGATCCGTCAATCCCATAATCGCACAAATACAAAAAGATGATTCTACATAAACATACATTTAAAATAAAACCTTACTTTTGCATAAATATTTTTTGGGGGGATAAATACCGTTTGACTGCATTAAAAGATTATAAATCCAGCCTTTAATTCAGCATTTCGAGTCATATGGAGTATTAAAGAACATCAGAAAAATGTAAGTGAAATTCGGTAAACATTCAGTTACTACAGTATCTTTGCATTTTTTTTTTCATCAGCAAGTGAATTACTTAAGTATTTTTTAGCACATTTTCAATGTGCTCATTTTGTGGAATGAACTAATATAATGGTGATATGAAGTCCTGGACTGCGTCTTGATTAAGAGAAACCAACAATTTCAGATCTTCTGTGCATTGCTGAACCAAAAGCTGAGCTTCAAATGTTGCATACTCTTGAAAACCGAACGACTCCAATGTCTTTGACGAGCCAGCCTTGTTGTCTGTGGGCTGCGCTGAATGCGTCTTCAGCAGATCTTTTGCCAGTTTCACAGCACACAGCACAATCACAGACGGCATATACTTGTTAAACGTGTAGTCAGCCAAACTCAGTTCACAGACTTTGCAAGCCAACCATTTCCACTTCTTCTGGGGCTCCTTCCATGCATTTCTGTCCTGTGTAGTGACCATCTTATCCATGGCTCCATCAGTCTGATATCCAGTAGTGCGACTGGTGAAGTAGTCCAGAAAGAAAGCATGGGTAGGTGCAGCCAGTCTGAAGTGGAGTCTGAGAAGGATCAGGCATTCGAGATTGCACAGCTGCTCTCTGGAAAAAGAATTGCAGCAAAGCGACAGAAGTTGTGTGATGCGAGGTGAATACACTTCAACCTGGAAAACACAAAAATCACAACTCACTCAGATTTACATCTTGGTCTATTTTTGTAATCAATAGTCCCTGAAAAGTGTGTATTAACCCTAGTGAAAAAGAAGTACACTTTAGTGTATTAACTTATACTTTAAAAGAATATACTTGGTATATTATTACATAGTTACAATTAAATTAAAATGTATTACAGTTTAAGTTCATATTAAATGCAATTAGCTGAATTTTAGAGTGCTTTTTGGCCCGATTAAGTAGGACTTAAGTGCATACTTAAACAACTGTTTATATTTATTTCTATGTCTTTTTAACAAGGTTTGTACAGCACAGTGGTCAACTACTGTTGTTTTCATTGTGCTTTATAAATACATTTTGATTTGATTCTTGTGTCTTTGAATTATTAAGTGTACTGTTAAATGTACTACTGACAACCATTTATGGTAAACTAATGTAATTTCTATTGAAACTTGCATGTCACCTATTAAATTATGTATTCCGTTTGTAATGAAGTTGCAATTTAGTACATAAAAATATAATATCAAACACACTACAGTTAAAATTATAAGAAGTACTATGTGCTTAATAAGTAATATGTGCTAGGCAACGCATCAAAATAAGTGTACTTCTTTAAAACACAATAAAAGATTATAAAAACATGATGTACTTCTAAGTAAAACTTTTAAGTTGACATTACAAAGTGTAATGAGAGTGTCTCTAAGTCACTTAAGTGGCCTTTTATTTCACTAATGTTATATTATCTTCAAGTACAGTATTTAAAAGTATACTTTTATGGTTTGAAGTGCACATTCAATACAATTAAGTGCACCTCTTTTTCACAAGAGATTGAGAATACTAATAACCAGACGTAATTCTTAACTGTGCTATTTTTATAATGAAGCTGATGAGTGAGAATAAGAGTTGAAGATACCTGTTTTGTGGCGATCAGCAGAGACGTCACTCCCAGTAACTGGAAACAGTCTGCAGCTACTGAGGTTGTGATCAAGAAACGGTCCATGATATTAACAGCCAAACAGCACGATTCGAACGAGAGTTTGAGCTGTCTGCGTACAGCTATGAGCCAGCTGACCAGTTTGCTGCGAGCCTCTGCTGTAATCTACAGCAGGATATAAAAAATCATGTAAAAATTAACATGCAGAACAGTAACATCATTGATAACAGTAAGAACAAATGAAAACGGATGCTTGTTTTCTGCAGCAGTGCACTGTAAAAAAAATAAATAAATAAAATGCAACAATGTACTAGTAATTTTCTGCCAGGACATTATCCATTTATTGCACTCTAAAACCAGTGTTGGGGAAAATTACTTTTAAAAGTAATGCATTACAATATTGTGTTACTCCATAAAAAAGTAACTAATTACATTACTTAGTTACTTTTTATGGAAAGTAATGCGTTACGTTACTTTTGCAACTTGCATTACTTATTTGTTACTTAGCAATGCATTACTTTACTAGTTACTTGAAAAAAGTAATCTGATTACGTAACTCGCATTACTTGTAATGCGTTACCCCAACACTGTCTAAAACCCACACACGTAAAAACTACACTAACACATGTAAAAAATAAATTCCTTCATATTAATACTGTACATTGTGCCCTTTTTTACAGTGTGGTTTTGTATTGGTTTCAGCATCTAGATCAAAACTTTTTTGTTCATTGTCATCCCCCAAACTGAAATTCCATTATATATCATATCATATATAATAGAATATCATATATGATGAAATTCAACTTTGGAGGATAAAAATGAGCAATCATGTCTTTAAGACAGTAAGTATATATGATATGTTTTACTACAGTTCAAAAGATGTCAAAACAGTAATATTGTGAAATATTATTACAATTTCAAATAGCAGTTTTCTATGTGAATATACAGTGTGTTAAACTATAATTGATTTCTGTGATCAAAGCTGTATTTTCAGCATCATTACTCCAGTCTTCGGTGTCACATGATCTTCAGAAATCATTCTAATATGCTGATTTGCTGCTCAAGAAACATTTCTGATTATTATCAACATTGAAAACAGTTGTGCTGCCCAATATTTTTGTGTAAATACATGTGTTTGCGGTCACTTTTGCGTCCTTGCTAAATAAAAGTATTCATTTCTTGCAATAATAATAATGATAATACTAATACAAACAGGCATTTACCTGCGGCTGTCGCGCGAGGCAGTTGTGCGCCAGGAACTGCTGCTCGTTGTGTCTCTGGATGATGAAGCAGCTCTCCTCCTCATCATCACACTCGTGCAGCTCAGAGCCCGAAGCGTGAAGATCCTCCTCGAAGCCCGAGTCACTTAATGCGCTCATCGCGTCCACAGGAGAGGCTCTACCGCCGGGACGGATTTCCGCACATCCTCATCATCCTGCTGTACGTGCAGTGATTCAGTCGAATGCGCTGTTGGCAGGAGAAACGGTGCTTGTAAACGGGGTCTTTCCCGGGTGTTTTAGCGCGCACCGAAGGGCGCTATAGAGCCCGCCGCGTACCT